GAAACGTCTCGATCCTGTGGAATATTCCTTCTGCTGTCGACCCCGTTATGACTGAGGGCCATACACTGGGCCCGGAGAAGAAACCTTTCCAAATCATATGCATTTTTTTACTCATCTAAATCAGTTTAGAATGATAGGTTTTGGGGAAATGTCCTAAATATTAGCAGATATAGCTTCCTAGAGATCAGAACACCAGAGAAAGATGGATGGAAAAGAAGCCATTGGGTTCACAGTCTCCCTGGCTCAAGGGGCAAGATGGAGTGTTTCATATACATAGTGGCTCACATGTGCCCCTCATGCTGCCCTTCACCCCAGTGCGCACATTGCAGCAGACACACTGAATTTTATGAGTCTTGCTTTGGCTTGTTGGCTGTTCAAGCTAGGCAGTGGCTTTTCCTGAGATTTTCCATTCAGGGGAGGGAGGATGCATGTCTGTTCTTTCTAACCAACTGTGCTTCACAGGGAGAGGGAAGCTGTGACTTAGAGAACAGCATGTCCCTTGATCAAAGCAAAATTAATGAAGAATCGGGTTTTGTAACATGAGGGATCCTGCTTTTTGGGGTTTTCTGTCCTGCCCAGTTCCCCACAATTGTTAGGTCCCAAAGAAAATCACACAAATCTCTGTAAGTTATAAAGCTGATTGGCTCATTAGGTCAGGCTTCTTATTAGTTCTTGTAACTTATATTAACCCATTGTTTTTAATCTTTGCTAGCCATGTGGCTCAGTACCTTTTTCAGTGGGGCAGATCACATCCTGCTGCTTTGGTGATCTGGGCAGGAGTGGGAGGAATCAACTTCCTCCTCCTCAGAATTCTCCTGTTCTCCTTGCATCATTTCTACTTCCTGTCTGGTTTTCCCACCTACACCTCCTGCCTGGCCAATCAGCATTTATTTAAAACATGATTGACAGAATACAGACAATTCTCCCACACCAGGGTTTCTCCAGGGCATCCTGGTTACCTCTCAAAGTAAAGCCAGCCTTGGTAAGAGGAAAGGCTCACAGCATTTTATGACAAGAAACTTTTGTTCCCGTTGATGTGGGCCTTTCCTTAAGATGCAGTGCTGGGCTGTTGGGAGTGGGGACTGTGAGCCAGGTCCAATATCTAAACAGCCCGAGGTTCATACAGGATCACAGATTGGCTGTACCAAGGAGGTGACAAAGCCATCAAAAACGTGTCTTACTAATTACTAATTACACCAGACACTAATTGGAATGACTAAGGGACAATTGATCAACTTTTTGGCAGATTTTCTTTTTAATTAATTAATTAAATTAATTAATTAATTTAATAATACAAAATTTGAAAACAAATCAGGTATATATACATGCATGGATATACATAGCCATAAATATGAATTATTATATTTATTAATCCATAGAGGGAGGTGCTTGCTACTGAGTACTCCTTACATCTCCAAATAACAAAGGTTGGGTTAAGGGAGTAACTCGGTTCGGAGTGTACTTGCCTAGCCTGCTAGTGCTACATCCCTAGCACTGCACAGAACAAATAACAAGCCCAGTGACAAATGCCTGTAATTCAGTTCTCAGGAGGCAGCGGCAGGAGCATCAGTAGTGTGATTCCATCCTATGTTACATAGGGATTGGGACTGTGGCTATACCGGGCCATAGAAGACCCTATCTCAAAGCAGAGAAACACATTTGAATTTCCTAGTGTCCACAACCAGGGAGACCTGATTCTGGGTCCAGGGCTCTGTCACTGCGCTGATTGTGAGGTGAGGTCTTATCTGCACTCAGAGTAGTGTCCCCACCTGGAAAATGGCGAGGGTACTGAGCACAACCAGCAGTCATGTCTACACCAGAGCAAGAGCGGTGCTGGTTTGCCTTCATTGTAGTTTATTCTTTAGATTTCAGCCCGTGTTTCCTCACTCCCTAAATCACATCCAGGGGCGCTCATTCATCATCCTCCCCTCTCTGAATGTTTGGCAACTGCTGTCCCTGGCATCCACTTCACCATTTAATCATTTGCTAGTTTGTATTGTCCCTTAACAGTTAATGCCTTTGTGCCTCATTTCATTGTTCGAAATTGTAAGTTCTTAAGAAACTACATCTTATCAACTAAGCCCAGAGCTGGGAAAATAACAGAAACTCAACAGTAGACGTCTGAATGAAGAGATGAAAGGAACAAACACACATGACCAAGAGATGCTTAGCCCGAGTTGTGGGGTGACTTGACCAGCTCTGAGACATTTCCTTTGCAGTTGAATCACCCTAAGAATGACTCAGAGGACGATGTACTTTGGCTGCCATCAACAGTTAGGGAGATAGTGGCCTGCAGTACCCTCATGGCCCTGTTATGCTACCAGGGTGGGGACTGGGCTTATAGTCAATGTGCTTTAAAACGATATCGAAGTTATTATTTTCATTTTGGGAAACACAAGTAACAGGCATAATGCTTTAGTCTATTTGTTTCTTGCCTTTAAAAGAATGAACTAAAATTCAATGGCGCAAAAGCACTGGCTAAGACCTTTGCCTCAATGGCACCATAACACCCTTGAAGGCCCTCATTGCATGAATCTGACTTTTGTGACTCTTCAAAGCATTAAAGAAAAAAGGATCCTCAAGTTGGTTGTGGTAGCCTAGGCCTGTAGAGGTAAGAGAATCAGGAGTCCCAGCCAGCCAGGGCTACTGTGCTGTGGGACAATGGTCTTTTAATAAAACATTGATTGGCCAGTAGCTAGGCAAGAAGAATAGGCAGGGTGACCAGGCAGGAAGTAGGGGCAAGTCAACAAGAACAAGAGAATTATGGGAAGAAGAGAGAGTCAGTCTGCATTCGTCACCCAGACACAGAGGAAGCAAGATGAGAATGCCTCACTGATAAAAGTACCAAGCCACGTGTCTAACACAGACAAGAATTATGGGTTACTGAAAGATGTTAGAATTAGTTAATAAGAAGCCTGAGCTACAAGGCAACCAGTTTGTAATTCATGTAGACCGCTGTGTGTTTCTTTGGGACTGAATGACTGTTGGATTGGGTGGGACAGAAGCCTCAGTCAACACTACTGGACAACATGTCTCAAAAAGCTAAACAGAAAATGTGATCTGGACCCTATCTAGCTGGCAATTGGCACAGACTGTTACCACAGCTGTGTAACTCCCATTTCCATCAGATGTCCCCAGCTTTAGTCACCCACATTCACTGTACCTCAGGAATCCAGAAGTTCCCAGTAGCCCAATTCGTGTGGTCAGTCTGTTTGCATGAAAATTACATGGAAGTTAAATTTCAGTGTCCATCACTAGAGTTTTACTAGACTTAGTTATATTTATTATATCCCTCCATTTATATATCTATAGCTGTTTTCATGGTGCTGGGACAGAGCTGAGTCATCAGCAAGTACCATATAGCCTGAGGAGGCTGACCTAGATGTTGCTGGACCCTTTACAGGAGGGTGACTCCTATTCTACTCTGTTCATTTCCTTTCAAGAAGATAACGCAGTTTACCTGCCCTTGTTGGCCTTGTTGGCCCGAGCATTTTCTTATCTTTAAATACAAATTTAGCAAAACTTCAATTTATAAATCCACATTGAGTTTTCCCTTTTGTAATTTCAGTAAAGTCACCTCCAAAGAGGCCAGTTGGAGTGTAGGACTTGCAGTCAATGTCTAAGCCTGCCTTGGGGGTTCTGGCATTTTTACCTTGTGTGAGGTGTTTTTATCTTATACCAGAATTGGTGTCTATTACATGAAGAATTTGGTAGAAGTAATTATATGAAATTACATTGCCAAAGACGTCATTTGGTCTCTTTCCTGTAGTCTCACATTACTAGGAAAGCCATATTGTAGAGAACTCTCTAAGAAGCCCCTATGTTCAGCCACCTCCTGTTTATGTCGCTCAGATAAGTTCGGAATTATAGCCTTCAGCTGTAATCAAGAATCCATGGAGCTGGGGAGATGGTTCTATTAGTGATCGTGGTACTTGCATGAAGACCTGAGTTCAAACTCCAGAGCCCACATAAAACAAAACAGCAGATAAGTTGGGATCGGCAGCACACAGAAATCACTGTTCCCTGGGGGGGGGGGGCAGGGGCAGAAGGGTCCTCAGGGCTCACTGGGCCAGTGTATCTGTGTGAATTAATGAGCTCCAGGTTCATTGAGATACTGTTCTGGTGTTATATCTGTTGTTGTGATAAAAATACCTGGCAAAAAGAAGTCGAAGGGAAGGAGAGAATGCTTAACTTGCAATCCCAAGTTATAGCGCATCGGTGCAGGGAAGTGAAGGCAGGAGCTTGCAGGGGATGGTCACACGCATAGGCAAGAGCAGAGAGCAATGGCTACACAGCTGCCTAGTGCACAGCCTTCTTCACTCTCACATTCCAGGCCCCCAAGCCTGGGGCATGGTGCCATCCACACTGGATGTTAATAGGGCATCTAACATAATCAAGGCAATCTCCCATAGGCCAACCTGCTAACCTTTACTGAGACCCTCTTCTTGGGTGACCAAAGCTGGGTCAAACTGACCATGGGAACTAACTGCCTGAGAGATCCTCTCTCAAAACCCGAGGCAGAGAGCCTTGAGGAAGACATCAAACTCTAGTTTTCATATGCATGAGCATATATGTGCACATACCCTCTACACATCTGTTCATATGTGTGCATGCACGCACACACACACCCACAAGAAAAGAAAAAAATTGCAAGAGTGACTCAGCCAACAGTTTGTTTTGGCCTTCGAAAAACCCAGGGCCAGACCCTTCCAACCTGAGAGACTCTTGGCTCCCTGACTACCAGGAAGTATATTTGAGAATAAATATTGACAATTGTGAGTGGCCGATTCTGTGGTCATGCATTCTGTAAGCAAGAGATAAGCAACACAGAACGCCAAAACTGTTACCATGCCCAACATGGCACATTAGCAATCAGATAACCCCTGAAGTCACAGCTAGTACCAAGTCCAACTACACCTTTTCCCATACATGCAAATGTCTGATAAATCAGGCAGGCACTCCAAGAGATTAACAACAGCATAATAAAACAGAATGTTCTAGAGTCTACTGCAATAAAACTTACATATTTTTTTATCTCTGTATTTTTCCGTTCACTATTTTAGGATGGTGTTTTACTGTGGGTAACTGAAATCAAAGAAAAGAGGAACTGGATTGAGGCAGACTGGTGTGTGTTATTTCTCACGGGTACCAGTGCGTTTCTAGTTTCAGGTGGGTTTCTTTCTCTCCTTTCCAGCTTTGCAACATCTGTGGAATTTGATGTTTAAAGCTTTTTTTTTTCTCTGCTTTTAACTTTTGCTTCTCTCTTCAGCTGGAATTCAGGTTTTCCCTTCAGCAGCTGCCTTCCCTGACTGGGGTTTTATTGCTTAATTCAGACTCCTCCATTCTCTGAGAAATCAGCTATAGGGTGACTTCAACCTCACATGACCATTGATGTCACAACCTCTTGATGTCTTAAATAGGAAGATAAGGCACCAGATTCCCAGCTGTGCTTTGAAAAACATCCTTGCTAATGCCATTGTCTCCTTTTTAGTCTCTTACTTGAAGAAAGTGAAGAATAGACAAGAACGAAGAAGAATGGAGACGCAGAGGTAACGTTTAGAAATGGGACAATCTGTGTGCACTGTCTACACACAACTGGAATAAAGCCTCGGGGGACATAGTATATTCTCAAGGTTATTCGGGTGCCTAGGGGGTGCTTTAAAGCCATGAAATGTCATTAGAGAGGAAAAGGTAAAATGGGCATTGAAGTAAACTCAGTTTTGGGAGGAATAGGCAAGATTTATTTGAAAACGATACCATGCCTTGGAGTGAGAACAAACTTCAGGTCCATTGAGAGGCCAGAGACTGGTCAATGGCTAAGTCATGGAGCTCAGTATATCACCTCCAGTGTAACTTTCGGGGAGGATGTAATGAAAAGTTTAAACTTTCCCACTTTTACAACTGAATTTAGGTTTCAGCTCTCTGAACAAGGCAAGCAGGTGCCTCTCCCAACAAAGGGTCATTTATCAACAAATTATATTCAGGGACAAGAGAGAACAGGGACAGGGCCTGAGTGAGCCCCACAATGTCTCAAGGACAGTTCTTGCAACACCCTTGAAACTTACCCAAGTATGTCCAAAGATAAAGCCTTCGCCAGTTAAAAGTGTACTAATGTAACTGCTGCTTGCTTAGCCAATTACATTTGAGATGACCTCACCGTCCTGGGAATTCCCCCAGCTACGCTTAGAGCCTGCTTGCTCCTCTCAAGGTTGTTGCTGTCCAGGTGAGCAACACTGCCTATGCTGGTAAATAGACGCTTGTAACATGAAGGGGTCTGCTTGTTGGGGTTTCGGTGGTGCGGGAGAATTGTCTGTATTCTGTCAATCATGTTTTAAATAAACACTGATTTGCCAGGCAGGAAGTATAGGTGGGTCAACCAGACAGGAAGTAGAGGTGGGACAATGAGAACAGGCATACTCTGTTCTGTCTACTCCGCCAATCTAAGCTGCTGTCCTATCAAAAGGCCAAGGCAGTCCCTTTATTTGACCAATGAAAGCAACCCATAGAAGGAAGACCCTCCTACACCAAACGCTCTTTGCTCTTCCACACTATTTGAGTCTGGGGTCTTCCTTCGGTGTCTTTTCAGACCCCTATAGTAAAGCCTGGACAAAACAGCAGCTAGGGGCCCAAAGGTGCAGCTTCCTTTGAAGACACCGGAAACCTCTACTGTGAATTTGCCACGTGATTGACTTCATGGGTCTCCATTTCTTCTAGTGGTGCAGAGACACAGGCAATAAGACCTGTGCCATGAGAGAAACTTCATAAGAGAATAACCCAATGACCAGCTAAATGTGAAGACATACACCAATAAAAATGTTGGCTATGGATCAAGGAGAGCCAATGAGAGGATGTACGTATTACTGGTTTACACACATCTGTATTTTTTTATTCTTTTGTCCTAAGAATGTATTAGAGCATTTATAATGTGTAATACATAAGGTTTTACTTTTTATTATAGTGCTGGGGTTGGACTTAGGGTCCTTGTACATGCCAGGCAAGTTCTGTACTATTGACCTCCTCTCCACTCTCCTTCCCCCCTTCCTCCTCTCCCCTCCTCCCTCCCTTCCCTCCCCTCCCATGTTAGGTAGCTCTTGTAACTTATCACATATATGCTCTCTCACTGAGACGTACTCCCAGACTTGGTTTCACCAACCAAGAGATAAAAAGAAAGATATACTAACTTGTGACAGTCATTGTAGAAACAGACTCTACAAGTAGGATTTGTGACAGGTGTGTGCCATGTATGTCACTCTGAAATTGTTGTTCTCAAACAAATAGGTTCGGCGGATTACAGTCATCAGACAAGGAAAGGGCCAGACAGCCTGGACTGCGAGGGGAAGCAGAAAGCAAAGGATCCACACACAACTGATCCCAAGGGAAGAAAGGGGGTTAATTGTGGCTTAAGAGATCTGAATGAACTGTAATGGAGTACTTCATTGTGGTACAGCTACAAGGAGCAGGAAGGGAATTTAGTAACAGATCGTGCAAGTCAACTGGGACTCCCCTCTCTGGGATATTTTTCAAATGGAATTAAGAAGCACTTGTTTCTGACTAATTAACTTTAATTCACCTTGGGGGTTGAGTTAGTGAAAGAGGAGGACGGAGGACGACAGCGGCAACGTTTAGAGTCACAGCCAGGTGCATTGGTTCAAAAGAAAATAAAACCCGAAGCAATGATGCCCCATGTCCCAGCTCCTTACACACTGAAGATAAACCTGCCTTCCCGTGGTGGGATTTCAATATGCGATGTCCTAAGTGGGTGTCCCTGTTTGAGAAAGTACTCACACCTTTAGGAGGGGGAGTCTTGCTGGAGGAAGCGGCTCACTGGAGGCAGGGGCTCTGGGGTTTTATAGCTGTCGCCACTTCCTGTTCTTTGTCCGTCATGCAACATGACCTAGCAGTTTCCTGTTCCTGTTGCCATGTGTTTCCCGCCTGAGGGCATCTGCCGCTGTAGAACCGAGGCCCAGAAAAAAACCTTTAGATGTTTTTGTCACTGCGTATTGTTGCAGCAACAGAAAGGAAATGAAGACCCCAGGCAACACCCCAACCTCCTGCCGCCCCCTCCACCTGCATAGTGAGGATAAATTCCCCAACCACCAGCTGCCCCCTCCACCCGGGTGCAGGGTGAGGACAAATTTCCCCAGAATGCCTTTTCTAAACGTGTGTTCTGCTCGCTGAATTTTAAGTTCATACCCCTCCAGTTTGTAAAAGTCTTAAAAATTAATTTTATTTCCTAATTTCTGCCAACTGGCACAATTTTGTGATTGAAAAATGATTAGGCCTGGGAATATAGCTCAGGGGAAGAATATTGGCCTAGCATACATAGGACTCTGGGCTTTATCCCTAACATTGCAAATAATAAATAGAAGACAAATAAGCAGAAAAGATGGGAAAGCCTACAGAAAAAGAGAGAAAATATACTGGAAAACTTAATGAGATAAAAATATATTTTGGACAATATTTTATTTTAAGTAATATTAAAACCTTAAGGTAAACATCATACATAACAAGCTATAATACCAAATGTCTGTTTTCAATGAACAGATATGAGTTAATCTGACTTTACAAGTATGTGAGGCCAGTAGGCTATTATAAACGTTTTAAGCATTTTATCTTGATTAAGCTGTTAATTTATACAGAGGATACAAGAAGACCGGTGTGCTTAAGAAGTATAACCCTCCTATACCCAGTCACCCGTTCCCAACAGTTATGTTCATTCATCCTATGTCCTCTTCCTTCCTGTGAAGTGACAGTCTTATTTCCTGATTGACACACCAAAAGAGGCCAAGACAAAGAAAGGAATGAAAGCTAGCTCTGTGAACGCCATATGCCCAGAGAGCCACAGCCCCGAATGCCAGCAATTAAATGTGGAGACCAGTTTTCACACATGATAAATTATTTGGCATAAATGGTTTACTTTAAAATTTATCCCTCAAGGAGTATATTTATCACTCTCAAAGATTTATCACACACACACACACACACACACACACACACCATACCACACCAAAAAAGCAAAAATCCAAAAGCAAAAAACAAGGGAAACAAGGTAAAAGAAATTCAAATTAATATTAAAATCTTACTTTATAAGATTTTAAAATTATTTAAGATATTAATTGGCTTAGAAATATTTATACATTTCTTGCTTTGGATTGTGATTTTTAGATGTTCACTAGCTATGCTATTTAATTGGCTTACGTATATTTTAAACTATTGTCTCCATAGCTATGTTACTATTTAAGGACTAGCAATGACCTAAATTGTAGGACTCCAAATATTTTAAGACTTGTCTATTGTTATTCTTTTACATGTTTTATGGTTTTTCAGAAAAACAGTGAATTAGGAAGAATCCTCATGTAACAATCCAAGAACAGAGTTGCTGTACCTTCTCAGGAAGGACAGGCTGCCTGCCCTGCCTTTCACCTCCTGTCTTATTCCAGATGTTATTAAGGCGATAAAGACAGATTCTGGCCAACCATCTCTCTTTACTTCTGAAATAACAAGACTCTGCCAGAAATAATCCTGAGTGAGCTGGTCGGAGTGGAAGTACAACGCTGTAATTCCAGCCATTGGGCGCTAGAGGATCAGACGTTCAAAGTGACTGTTGGTTACTTAGGGTGTTTGGGGCCAGCTTAGTCCACGTGAAATCCCATCTCAACAAATGAATAAATAATTTTAAATGATATTCAGTGAACCTTTTGGTAGCCACCTCCCCATTCTGACTGGTTACTTTGTAGGGACAGGAAACAGATGAATGATCTTGTGAACAGCATTATCCAGTAGTCAAGACTCTCAGTCTCATGCCCATCCTTTGCCTCTGAGGTAATGCTTTTCCCTTTCTTTCTTTCTTTCTTTCTTTCTTTCTTTCTTTCTTTCTTTCTTTCTTTCTCTCTCTCTCTCTCTCTCTCTCTCTGTCTGTCTGTCTTTTTTTCTTTCTAAAATTTCTTTCTTTCTTTTTTAAAAAAATCTATCTTTTTTCATTATATATACCAATACAAGTTCCCACTCTCTCCCCTCCTCCCATTCCCTCCACATATCCCCACACCACCCTCCCCCACTCCTCAGAGAGGGTAAGGCAGGCACATTGCTTTGTGGAAGGTCCAAGGCCCTCCCTACTATATCTAGGCTTAGCAAGGTATCCATCCAAATAGAATAGGTTCCCAAAAAGTCAGTACATGCAGTAGGGATAAATCCTGGTGCCACTGCCAGTGGACCCTCAGTCTGCCCCAGCCATACAGCTGTCAACCACATTCAGAGGGACTAGTTTGGTCCTATGCTTGTTCCTTCCCAGTACGGCTGGTGTTGGTGAACTCCCATTAGATCATGTAGACTGTTTCAGTGGGTGAACCCATCATGGTATTGATTTCTTTGCTTATATTCTCACTCCTCCCACTCTTCAACTGAACTTTGGGAGCTCCGTCCAGTGCTCCGATGCGGGTCTCTGCCTCTGTTTCCATCAGTTGTTGGATGAAAGTTCTATGGTGATATTTAAGATATTCATCAGTCTGACTACAGGGCAAGGTCAGTTTGGGCCCGCTCTATTGCTTAGGGTCTTAGCTGGGGTCATTCTGGTGGATTCCTGGGAATTTCTTTAGAGCCAGGTTTCTGTGGCAATGCTTTTCTGTTGCTTTGATAAAATAACATGACTGTGTTGCTAGTTTCTTGTCAAGTTGATGCGGACTAAGGGTCACAGGAAAGAAGGCAGCATCAACTGAGAAAATGTTTCCATAAATTCACGATGTAGGCAAGTCTGTAGAGCATTTTCTTAATTAGTGATTGATGTGGGAGGGCCCAGACTGTTTGGACGGGGTCACCCCTGGGCTGTTCGTCCTGGGTTTTATAAGAAAGCATGCTGAGCAAGCCATAAGGGGCAAGCCAGTAAGCAGCACCCCTCCATGACCTCTGCATCTGCTCCTGCTTCCCGGCTCCCATCCTGTTTGAGTTCCTGCCCTGATTTCCTTCAGTGACGGGCAATGATGTACAAGTGTAAGCCAAATAAACCATTACCTCCCCAAGTTGCTTTGGTGATGGTGTTTCAACACGGCAATTGTTACCTGATTAAAGCCATGGCTAAGACAACTTATAGAAGAAAGAGTCTATTCATCTCATGGTTCTAGAGGAATAAGAGACCCAATGGCAGAAAAGCATAATGATGGGCTAGCCTGATGGCTCAAGGAAACTGAGAGATCACACCCCCAGTTCTAAGGTTAAGAAGGTTTGGATGGAAGATGGAGGTATACAACTCTCAAAGCCCATTCACATTGACATATTTCCATCAGCGAAGTTTCACCTCCTACATCTCTCCACCGACTGGGGATCAAGAGTTCCAATACCCGCACCTGAATGACGTCACATCATTTAAACCATTCAGCCTCTTTGTTTCCTCTGCATATTATATCAGCTTCCTACCTAATCTCCTTCTCTACTGTGTGCTTGATAGATATTCTGAAGCCTATGCGTTCATACCTACTTCCTTCAGAATCTTCCATGGCTCATCTCTTCAAGTTGCTCGGAAAACTTGCAGTTTTTAAATCTCTCTTCTTCTCTCATCTCTAAAAAATTTCTTAGTAGATCTTGCCAGCCTTACCCTCCAAACACAATCAAAATTTATGACCATCCTTGCTATCCTTTATTATCCTTACTACACTTAAATCTTTCTTGCCTGATCTCTTTACACAAATTTTATTGCTCTCTTAACTTTCAGCCTTCCTAACTAAACAACAATTAGTCCCTAAAATTTATGTGCCCAAGAGACTCCCCAAGTCCTCCTCTCACCCGGAACTGTGCACTGGTATCTATGTGATGTACAAAGCTCATGGCCCATTTCTCCCTCTCTTACTCCAGCCTTTCAGGATGACCTTTGTACATTCTTCTCCAGCCAAGGGCTTCAGGATTGGGAGAGGAAATTTCAAACATGTCTTATTCCTGTGTTTGTGGTCCCACACTTCTCGGGGCTCTTCTCCAGATGTGTGCTTGGCCGGCTTCCTCACAGACCCATGTACCATGGCAGCCTTATCAGTGTAGCCTTCCACCCATCCCCCAGTCTTTGCCTCTTTATCCACCAGATAAATTATTCAACAGACATTTATCCAAATGTCTGTTGAAATTGTGACACGTATTTCTTTCTTACAAGTCTCACAAGACAAGTGATTAAGTTCCTCTGAGAGGCACTCTTGTATTCCAGCAGCCAAGGACAATAACTGGTACATTACAGGTCTTTCAGAGGCATCTTCCGAGTCACTGGACAGACGGATGGATGGATGGATTCGCAGTGTTCCCTCTCCTTCCTTTGTCCATGGAGTCACTACCTGTTGGGTATTCCTTATACAAAATGCTTGAGGTCCTGTGTTCCAGACATTTTTAGACTTTAGGATGTTTTAATACCTATCTTGAGAAACCTTGGGAATCAGACCAAATCTAAACATACACAAAACATAACTCTCCCTTCTCTTTCTTCCTTCCAACACCTATTGCCCCTTCTTGCTCTCTTCCAAACTCATGCCCTCTTTTTTCATTGTTATTGGATACACACACACACACACACACACGTGTGTGTGTGTGTATGTGTATATATATATATATATATGTATATATATACATATACATATGGATGTATGTATTTCTAAATACAACCTGCTCAGTCTGTATTATGTGATTTGCATGTATGTTTTCAGGGCTTTTTTTGATTTGATACTGGAGAACCAGTAGTGCTCTTCCCTGAGGAAAACTATTTCTCCTGTTATCAGATTTCCTTAGTTGCTTGTAGTTCTTTGCATAGGGCAGAGGCCTCGTGGGCTCTTCCCTGCTCACTTTGACTTGTCTATTGGTACTGTCCTTGTTCAGCTCCTGTTGGAGCTGTGATCCTCTGGCTCTTACAATCTATCCACCCCATCTTCCTCAGTGTTCCCTGAGTCTTAGGGGCAGGAGTTTGTTTGCTTGTTTGTTTTGTTTTTGATGTATCCCCTGGGACTGGGTTCTACAACTCTGCATTTTGATTGGTTATGTTTTTTTTTTTTTTTGTAATGAACTCCAACCTTGATGTGGGGTGAAGACTACACTTACTTGTTGGTATAAGGACACATATTGAAAATGTAGTTAGGGATGGGCTGGTTTAGTTAAAGTGACAGTTACAGGTTCTCCTCCAAAATCTATGGCTTCACTAGCCCTGTGTGGTTGGCTAGGTTTCCAGGTCCAGGCATAACGTTTCTCTTGCTCAGTAGGCTTTAAATCGGATTGGAGAGGTGTTGGTTACCACCAGAACATGCATGCCAATAGTGCACCCTTAGGGTTATCATGCCATGCTGTTTGTTGTTGTGGTTCGTAAGTGTCATAGCAGGGTAGGACTGTTTGCTGCTTCCTTCCTTGGATGCTTGCATTGCACTTTCTGGTACCGTGGAAGCTAGTTCTCAGATAGAAAGCATTCAGATCTGGAGGAAATTTTACAAAATACTTTTAGAATATTTTAGATTTTGGAGAATGTTCGTTTGTAGTAACATCTGTGCATTCTTCAAACTGCCTTTTGCTCATCTCCTTTCATTTCATTTTATTTTATTTCATTACCACAATCTCAGTTAACCCTTTATTCACAACAGAATTGCACCTGCTTACACCGTCTGTTTCCAGCAGCCGTGAGCACATCTGGTTCCATCAGTCCTGAACACATCTGTTTTCATCAGATATGAGATATCTGGTTCTATCAGTCATGAGCACACCTGGTTTCACCTCTTTTCAGCAGTGATAAGTACATCTGGCTCTACCAGTGATGAACACATCTGTCTAAAGCAGTGATGAGCACATCTGTCTCCAGACTGACAAACATTTCTGGTTCCAGCAGTGATGAGCACATCTGGTTCCAGCAGTGATGAGCACATCTGATCCTAGCAGCGATGAGCACATCTAGTTACAGCAGTGACGAGCACATCTATCTCTAGCAGTGTAGTAGTGATGAGCACATCTGTCTCCAGCGACGATGAAGACATCTGTCTCCAGCAGTGATGAGTACATCTGGTTCCAAAAGTGATAAGCACATCTGGTCACAACAGTGACAAGCACATCTATCTCCAGCAATAATGAGCAGTGATGAGCACATCTGTCTCCAGCAATGATAAGAACATCTGGTCACAGCAATGATGAGTACATATATCTCCAGCAGTGATAAGAAC